GTCTCGGTGAACCAATGCCTCTAGTTCAATCGGGATATGTGCTACGAAGGGATCGTACTGTACGCTAACTATATCATAAGGTTCTTGCAGGCACTTCATTTGTATCTAGGGAATCATGATGCGTAGTTGCTAGACGCCAATCTTGATTCGTTGGGCACCGATTTGATCGGGATTAGGTAAAATGAGTTTTACTCTAATCGGGACTCTTGGGAGGAGTTCGTATAAGAACAATGTGTTGTTCGAATCACAAAGAGTTGTGAGCCCACGGCTAGCATACACCTGAACCATTGAGGGTCACACTTCTCGTGTAATATAGATCCTTGATAACAACAAGCATAGATTAATGTGTTAATCTTTTAACGATTGGATGTCGATATGATTGAATCCAAGATTCGTAATTGTGGATTGCGAATTGGAATAAACGTAAAGAAAGAGAGACATGCGGAATTTAGTGAACTTTCTAAATTGGGAAGTTTCCCGATTTAGCAAGTCCACTGAAGTGGAAGTTTCCAATTTTGGAAATTGGAAATTTCGAAGAGGCACTCGTATCGACGAGGACTTTGAGCTCGTCACAAATATATAATTGTTAAAATTTTGTGGACGATCGTTTATTAGAAACGAGGCCGACGAGGGAATGGGCTTAATGCATCAGTGGGTCAAGCCCAATGACTTAAGCCTACTAGGGTTTAAACCCTAGGTATAAATAGACCTCAAAAGGAGTTTTGAGATCAGATTTGAGCAACCAAACCCTAGCCGCTCAAGCCCTAGCCGCCCCCTCTTCGGCCGTTGCATCTCCGCCGCGCCACCGCCGACCACCGCCGGAAACGCCGCCGGTTTTCTCCTCTTTCTCCTTCGTTTTATTCGTGTTGTTATCTAACTCGTTTATATCTAGTGCTATAGTTCGAGTGGGTCGAAAATACGAGGTGAAACCTAATTGGAGAGGAGCTGCTGCCCCGACGAATCCGTGCACCACCGCACGCGCCGCACCGTCGCTCACGCGCCGCCGCTGCCGCTGCCACGCGCCGCCGCTGCTGCTGCCGTTCGTCGCCGTTCGTTGCCTGCTGGATCAGCTCGGTCCAGCCGTGAGGTGCAGCCCCTAGGAGTGGTATATAGCAGCTTGTACGTGACTCGTTTTAGGATTTCGATTCGTCGAAATCTCACGCTACAAGAGGTAATAAATCGGAACTTTCGTAATTCGATTCGAACATGTTTGTATGATTATTAATTTGCAAGCATGAGCAATATGTGATTACATGTTTCGATTTCGTGAAATTAATAATAAGCATGTTTCGTGATTTTTCGGTTTTATGTATTTTTGATTAAATCGAAAAATTACCATATGTATGGCGGAAGCGTTAAGGTACGTTGACTATGTGATTAGTATTGCATGTAATCGAAACTAGTTCGATATAAAAAATTTTAAATTCCGCTGCGTATACATGCACGATCCCCAACAAATTTGATATCTAATAATTCGGATATCAATAATTCACGTATAGCCCTAATTTTTGGTAAAATCTAGCATTTACGTGACTAGAGGTTTTTCGGTTTAGAAATTATCGTGTTTTGAACACGTGGGGTGTTACAATCTTCCCCCCTTAAGAAATTTTGTCCCCAAAATTTGTTACATGTCCCGAATAATTCGGGATAGAGACTTCTCATTTCTGATTCGCGTTCCCATGTGGCTTCTTCGGGTGTGTGGTTGAACCACTGCACTTTGACTAGGTGAATCTCGCGGTTTCGGAGCGTCTTGGTTTTGGAGTCGAGGATTCGGAAGGGTTTTTCTTCGTAGGAAAGGTTTGGGTTCAGCTCAATAGGTTCGGCCTTGAGAATATGATCGGGGCTGGAAATGTACTTGCGAAGCATGGAGACGTGGAATACGTTATGGATTCGGGATAGGTTAGGCGGAAGTGCTAGTCGGTAAGCGCGACTGCCTATTTTTTTCGAGTATTTCGAACGGACCGATATAACGTGGAGATAGCTTGCCTCGGTTTCCGAATCGCAAAATTCCTTTAAAAGGAGCTACCTTTAGAAATACCGATCCTCCGACTTCAAATCCCAAATCTCGCCTTCTATTATTTGCGTAGCTTTGTTGTCGGTTTTGGGCAACTCGTATATTTTCGCGGATGTCTCGAACTAGGTTCACGGTTTGTTGAACTAGGTCGGGCCCGAGAAGTTTTCTCTCTCCAACTTCATCCCAGTAGAGGGGAGATCGGCACTTTCGTCCGTAGAGTGCTTCGTAGGGCGCCATTCCAATTGATGTTTGGAAGCTATTATTATATGCAAATTCGATCAACGGTAGTCGAGATTCCCAGTTGCCTCCAAAGTCGAGTATACAGGCTCGAAGTAGGTCCTCAAGGGTTTTAATCGTGCGTTCTGACTGGCCATCGGTTTGGGGATGAAAGGCCGTGCTGAACGATAATTTGGTACCAAGAGTTCCTTGCAAACTTTTCCAGAATCTTGAGGTGAACCGTGGGTCTCGATCTGAAATAATAGTCGTCGGAATTCCGTGGAGCCGAACGATTTCTCGCATATAGAGTTCTGCGAGTTTGTCTAGGCTAAACGTCTTGCGGATCGGAAGAAAATGGGCTGATTTGGTTAACCGGTCGATAATTACCCAAATAGAGTCGGATCCGCGTTGGGTCCTTGGAAACCCTTGAACAAAGTCCATTGTTATTACTTCCCATTTCCATTCGGGAATTGAATTTGGTTGAAGTAATCCTCCAGGTCGTTGGTGTTCGGTCTTGATCTGTTGGCAAGTGAGGCATTGGGCGACGAATCGAGCTATATCTTCTTTCATTCTCGGCCACCAATAAAGTTTCTTCAAGTCTTGGTACATTTTGGTTGATCCGGGGTGGCAAGTATATGTGGTTTGATGTGCCTCGGCTAAAAGGAGTCGTTTGATTTCGGCATCGTCGGGAATGCAGATGCGGTTGTGGAATTGGAGGAAACCGTCTTTGGAAATTCGAAAATTAGGGTTTGTTTCGAGGTTTGTGCGAATTTTCTGAAGTTGGGGGTCTTGATCTTGGGCTGTCCTCACGCGGCCTCGAAATTCTGACTCGACCACTAGGGCGTTTATCGATTTCCGACTAAGGGCATCTGCCACAACATTCGCCTTCCCGGGGTGGTATAGGAATTCACAGTCGTAATCTTTAACCAGATCTAACCATCTTCGCTGCCTCATGTTCAATTTCTTCTGAGTGAAGAAATACTTCAGGCTTTTGTGATCGGTGTAGACGGTGCACTTATCTCCATATAGGTAGTGGCGCCAGATCTTAAGTGCAAAGACTACTGCTGCGAGCTCTAAGTCATGAGTTGGGTAATTTTTCTCGTATTCCTTGAGCTGGCGGGACGCGTAGGCTATCACTTTTCCGTTTTGCATAAGTACGGCACCTAGCCCGAGTTTGGATGCGTCGCTGTAAATCACAAATCTTCCGGATCCATCGGGTAATGAGAGAATTGGGGCGGTGGTTAAACGCTTCTTTAACTCTTGGAAACTAGCCTCACGGTCTGGGGTCCATTGGTAGGCGACTCCCTTCTTCGTGAGTTGAGTGAGCGGTGATGCGATTTTTGAGAAATCTTGGACGAACTTGCGATAGTATCCGGCCAAACCAAGAAAGCTTCGGATCTCTCTGACGTTCCTTGGAGTTGGCCACGTTGAGATGGCTTCTATTTTGCTGGGGTCGACGGAAAGTCCTTCGGCGGAGATAATGTGACCAAGGAAAACGACGCGTGATAGCCAAAATTCACATTTACTGAACTTGGCGTAGAGTTTATGCTCCCGGAGTGTTTGAAGTACTGTTCGCAGTTGGGAGGCATGTTCTTCTTGGGTCTTGGAGTATATAAGAATATCATCGATAAAGACGATGACAAACTTGTCGAGGTACTGATGAAAGACTCGATTCATAAGGTCCATGAAAGCGGCTGGTGCGTTGGTCAACCCAAACGGCATTACTACAAATTCATAATGGCCGTATCGGGTTCGGAAGGCAGTCTTTGGAATATCAGTCCCTTTGATCTTAAGCTGGTGGTATCCTGACCGAAGGTCGATCTTGGAGAAGACGGATGACCCTTGGAGTTGGTCAAAGAGATCATCGATGCGGGGCAGAGGATATTTATTCTTTATGGTCACCTTATTCAGCTCTCGATAGTCGATGCAAAGGCGGAAAGATCCATCTTTCTTCTTAACGAATAGTACCGGGGCTCCCCATGGGGAGTGACTAGGGCGGATGTATCCTTTATCGAGTAGCTCTTGGACTTGATTTTTCAATTCTTTAAGTTCCACCGGAGCCATACGGTATGGAGCCTTTGAGATTGGTTCCGTTCCCGGAATAAGATGAATTTCGAACTCAATTTCTCGATCGGGCGGTAGCCCGGGTAGGTCTTCGGGGAAAACGTTGGGGAATTCTTGAACAACGGGAAGTTCGGACATTGTCGGTGGAGGTTTTGAGTTAGTCTCTAGAAGGTCGACTAGATAGCCGGTATGTCCCTTGTTGATGAGTTTGGTGGCTTTGATTGCTGAGATTATGGGAATCTGGGTCTTGGTGTCGCTTTGAAATTCTAGGGAAGCGTGATTCGGAAGAGAAAAGCTTACGGTCTTCAGAGCGCAATTGATTTGAGCCTTGAACTTGGTCAGCCAGTCCATGCCCATTATAAGGTCAAAATTCTCGATTGCTAAGACGATGAGATCGAACCTCATGGGTTGGGATTTAATCTGAATAGGGCAATCCTTCACTACCTCGCTAGTAATCATCTCTTCGCCCGAGGGCATAGAGATGCGATATTCATGGCTTACTTGGGTCGGTATTAGGCCAAGGCGTACGCACACATTGGTTGAAATAAAAGAATGTGTAGAACCAGAATCGATCAAAGCATACACGGGTTCTCCAAGAATAAGAAGGGTACCTGCGATCATCGTCGGGTCTTGATGCACTTGTTCTCGGGTCATGGAAAACACGCGGCCTGGGACTCGAGTTTGGGCATTGGGGCAGTCTCTCGCCTTATGGCCGGGCTTTTTGCATCGAAAGCATAATTCGGTATCCCTTACGCAGATTCCAAAGTGAGCCTTTCCGCAGTTCGAGCAAGTTGGCTTGGCTGCCGGTGTTACTGGTCTAGAGTTTGAAATTTGGACCTTCTTTCCCTTGAATTTTTGATTTCCAAAATTGGCCTTCTTCCAAGGTCGTGGCACGGGTGGCTGGGATCGTTTCCCTTGTTGAATTTCGTTTTCGTCTTGAGCGGCGATTAGTGCCTTGTCTACCATTTGGCGAAAGGTAGTGGCGTCGGACATGTGGATATCCCTTCGGATTTCAGGTTGTAGTCCTCTTGTGAAGTGATTCTTCTTTTCTTCGGCGTCCTTGGCGATGAATGGGGCGTACAAGCATCCTCGTTCGAATAATCGAACGTATTCGGTCATGGTGAGGTCTCCTTGGCGGAGTTCCAGGAATTCCTTGAGTTTGTTGGCCCGAACGTCTTTGGAAAAGTACTTCTCGAAGAATTGGACTTTGAATGCTTCCCATGACAAGTTCTCGAGTTCAACACCTTCCTTAGCTCCTTCCCACCAGTTCCGGGCTTCGTTGCGAAGTAGAAAGAGGGCACAGTGCACTCGTTCACGGTCATCCATTTGCATGTAATCAAAGATCACTTCCAAGGATTTGACCCATTCTTCGGCTATGACCGGGTCGGGATCACCATGAAATTCAGAGGGTTTCATGCGAAGGAAACGTTCATATAGGCTTTGAGGATTTGGTTGAGGCGTAGATGGCGTTTGGCGGCTTTGAAGAAGTTGTTGAATCTGATCGTGATGATTCTGTGCTTGCTCGCGGATAAGGTTGGAAAGACCAAGAATAACGTTAGCGGTGTCTGGGAGATTGTTTGTGGCGGTGGTGTTCCGTGATTGTCTTCCTGTCATGTCTTAGTGTATGTGTTGCAAAAATACCTTTAGATTAACAGAAAAATAAATATAAACACAAGTAAGCACATAATTACCGGACCGACCGAGTCTTCACGCTTCGAGGGTTTCGAATTCCGGTTCGGTGCTCGTATAGAGTTTCTACAAATTTTGCTCTGATACCATGTCTGTGACACCCCCTAGTATACGTATAGCAAACCGAGAGGGTTTGCCAGGCACGGAAGCTTTGAAGGTATTATTTAAGTATTTGGGTATGTGGGTAAGGGGTTTAGAAAACCGATTTCATACTATTACTATTTGCTTTGAGGTTCGGGATTTAAGGATGGAGACGGCTTCGGAAAAATGTTTCGGCGAAGTGATTTAGTGGGATGGTGGAGTATACGCCTAATTACCCAATAATTTCGTAATATAGACTTCTATGTGGTGTCACCTTGGTAAAACATAGGAAAAAGAGTTAAAGTCCATAATTAAAACTACATATTAATAAATGGACCATAGTTTAACAAAAAGGGGCCCATCTTCGGAGGAATATGCCTCCTCTACCACGGATAATAATACACATGGGCTACTACGGAAATAGTAATTGTTCTAAGAACAATATACACAAAAGATAGTACTACAAGCATTATAAGTAGATCCTCCATGCGAACCAAAAACCCGGAATCGTCCTCTCGAAACGTCGACTAGTCCAATCCGGTGGAGTGAGTAGTACTAGTACCTGCAAACGGAGAATATCTATATGAGCTAACAAAGCTCAGCAAGGTTATCGAAAGATAACAAGAATTTAAAAATATAGTCGTACTACATATACTATATAATAATAGCACAAGCGCAACAACAATTAACACAATTTACATTCTAGTATCTTTTAATTTTCGCATTGAGGGCAATGCATGATTTAAGTTTTGGGGTGCGTTTAGCTTATTTTTTCTTTTTGGTTGTTTGCATGTATATCATATAGTTGAGTTTCATTTATGTATTTCGATTTCCGTATTGGTGTTATGCTTGTCGCATGCATTTCATATAGGATCAAGTGTAGGTTGCATTTCCGGATTCTATTGAAGTAGAGCAGTTAATGAAATAGTAGACTTGCTAGTTGATTTTAAAATTGAAATTGTGCATAACCGGTAATGAATAGATGAACCTTCCGACTACGTTTCTTCAACTTGTGGAGAGAGCCTTTCCAATCCTTTCCAATTAAGGATGAGCGCACTTTGCTAAGGTGTGACACCCCTCTCTCGATTACTCTTTATTATATGTAATCTCAGCGGAAGAATTTTTTAAAATGATTATTGTGGATATATAAAGTTACGTAAAATTTTTATTTGTAAATAAGAGGGAGAGAGGTCACCCAATAATAAACCCTAATCGGTCAATTAACACAAATACATACTACATACAAGACTAGAAGATAACTAGGTATGATGGATCTAATGCAAATTCGGACGGATTCAGTGCAGAAACTTTAAAAATTTATTCCTCTTAAAATAGTAATGAAAATAATCCCAAAATAATATCATACCATATATCCTGGGTCTGAATCACTGGGTTAAAACAATTTTGAATGATTCTCGAACATTTGGGAGAAATAAATAAAATGGCACAGTTACTCAATTTAAAATCCAGAACAGCGGAGGGAGTTTTGAAAATTCATATTAAATTTCTCACTGATCCAAAAACTACCAAATTGTACCCCAAGGCAGGAAAATAAGTTTAAAACGTTTGCTAGGTGGAAAAAAGGCATTTGAGTGAGTAAAACTCCAGTTGTAACAGAAAACACTCGAATGACCCTGTTTCAGTGCAGTAATGAGAAATAAGTCATATCTAATTGAATACTTACCGAAATCATGCAAAAAAACTAGGGAAATGATGCGAATAGAGAGGTGTAGAGACTCCTAAAGTTTCATAATTTTCTAAATAGAGGACCTATATGAAAACAATTTTCAAACATCAAAACAAAACACGAAGAAGTTACTAGCCGAAAAGCGTGCATGCATATAGATAGTAAAATTCGCTTTCAGTTACAAAATACTACGAATTACTGATTAAATATCCAAAATGGGGTAATCCTAATTACTATTACACATATTGTATCTTAATAATTTCCACCGATCGAAGGAAGGGAACGGTAGGAAATACCTAAAACCGTATCAAAAGTTTTTACAAGCATATTATACAAATAAAACCACATAACTAAGTTAAGAGCCAACACAATCCACAACCCCTCCATACAATCTCCTTCCAATTCCCAAGATCGATTCCCATCTTCACTCCTCGGGCTCCAAATCGGGTATACCTACAAACATACAACACCTATATGAGTCATTGAGGACTCAATGAGAATCTTGAAGTATTATCGAATACACATAACACATAGAGAATAGACATAGACATGCAACATAAATTAAAGTATTCATATACTGCCCTTTTTCGTCGGATTTCTTCATCACATAATTGTCACACGCATAGAGTGAGATAAATTCCATCTCTTATAACATTATGATCCTTAGACCATAGAGTCAGAATATCCCACCTTTATAACCCTATGCCATGACACGTATTGATGATTATAGAATGAGAATCTCCCACCTTTATAACCCTACGATCCCAAGACCATAGAGTGAGATTTCCCGTCTATATCCTCAACACAAAAATAAAACCTGCCTGATATGAAAAATCATCGGGAATCCCTTTGGAAGAATCAATCTAAGTTCCCGGTAAATAACCTCATATTTTAGGAATCCGTGTATCTACGTGGAATCAAACCACCCCTAGGCCCTACGGTACCGACTCGTCGTACCCCGGATATTTACCGTAACCTCGAAAGACGTTCCAACATATTTTTACCTTTTAAAAATTCATGACACTAATGCACCCACACATGCACACTTCTTCTTACCCTTCTCTCATCCTCACAGCCAATGATCAACACATAAACAAGCAAGAGCACATAGAAAATTACACTTAGAGTTTCACAAAATCATTTAGCCATAAAAACATAATCCATAATCAAATACAAGAAATAACCGAAATTTTAACATGCAAAGACAATCTATAATCAAAAGTTCATTAAATATAACATTTTACAAGAATAAAGTTCAAGACTTTTATCTTTTCATTTTATTCAAGTCAATTCAATAGATCTACACATGCAAGAGCATTTTAAATCAAGTTAGCACAAATTCTTAGTTCCTTCATCATTTTTCATAGAAAACACTAGATCTTAACATGCAAGACTTTAGATTAACCATCAATCACTAGATCTTAACATGGAAGACCTTAGATCAACAATCAATCACTAAATCTTAACATGCAAGGCCTTAAAACAACAACCAACACAAGATCAACACATGCAAGATACCAAATAAATCAAATAAGCAATTTTAAGCAACTTTACCTCAAAAATTCGAAAGTTCCATAGTTAAGCCAAAAATCAATTTATTTTCACAAATCAACAATTAAACACTAGATTAACACATGCAAGCTACTAATTAAGCCAAATAAGCAATTTAAGCATTTTGTCCCCCAAAATCCGAAAGTTTCATAGCTAGGCGAAAAATTCATTTTCTTTTCACAAATCAACAATCAAACACTAGATTAACTCATGCAATACACTAATTAAGCCAAATAAGCAATTTATGCATTTTCCCCAAATTTTCAAAAAAAGCATAAAACTTCAAGAACAAAGTTATCTTTTCAAAACACTGACATGCAATCATCATCTAAGCCATATAATCACATAATTTGAAAGAATGAACAATTAATTCACATAAAAACCGAAAATCCTAGTGGTGTTGCGTGTTTGAGCAAGCATTCAAGAATTCTCACCTCTACTCTTTAGGAGAAGGATTTGTTAGCTCTTTTCTCTCTAATACAAGACGAGATTAAGATTTAGATTATGTATTGAGAACAGGAGAAGAAGAACAAGAAGAACTTGGATGAAGAAGATCTTAGCTCTTTCGCAAAAAAATGAAGAAAGAAGAGGAAGAAGAAAGCTTACTCCTAAGCTTGGCCAAAAAATCTCCTTTTGTTGAAATAGAAGGAGACCTTAAACTTATAGATAGTCAGATTAGAGCTTGAGAGTGCATTTTGATCTTGGACATTGGAGGTATTTATAGAGTTCTTGGAGAGCTCAAGCCAATGGAGAAGAAACGGAAATACATCTTTTTGTGGGGGTGATTTTGCAATTTTCGAAAATAGGTGTGGTTGTGGTTCTTGGGTGGTTCAAGCTTGAGAAGGTGGTGGCTATGGTGGTGGTGTTGTGGCTGCCGAAATGAAGAAGAAAAGAGGAAGAAGAAGGACCTTTGGTCTACTTAAAGTGGAGTGTGGGAGTGAAAAAGCTAGCCTAGTCTAGAGAGTAGGGAGACTAGCTTTATGTATTTATTTTCATGCTCAAAGTACAACCACACTAATGCATGTCTATTCCTAATTAATATGCAAATTTTTAAATCATGTGTATGTGTGTGTATTGATGTCCGAAAATTTAAAAAAAAAAGAAGGGAGGATTTTCTAATTTTCTACACTAATTAAAAATCCTCAAATCCATGACAAAATTTTATTTTCTAAAATTTTGTGCATGCATAAATATGATGAAATGCTCATTTAAATTCATATGCAAGAATAAAATCCTAGTTCATGAAAAATAATTTATTTTGATATAATATCTCAAAATATTTCCTAAGCACATAATTCACGTAATCACATAATTCACATAATCATATAGTTCACATAATCACATAATTCACATAATCATATATTTCACATAATCACATAATTTACGTAATTACTAATCATGCAATAATTATTATAAATTCGAATTTCATAAATATGCACATAGAGTTGGTAAAATAAAATAACATTATCTTACCGAAAATGCAGGGTGTTACAATCTTCCCCCCATAAAAACAATTTTGTCCCCAAAATTTGTACCATTTTCAATTAGTTCCGGATAACGACTCACAATCTCATCCTCAAGTCCCCATGTTGCCTCATCCTGAGAA